GGTCTTTCTGTTTTTAGAACGGACGTGGCCAGCTGAGCCCCAGTTCCCCACACAGGGTGACCGACGCCCAGTCCTGGGGTGGCTGGACTGACTCCCCGGCACACGCTCCCCTGGCTTTTCAGCTGGTGCTGGGGCCGTGGCGGGCGGGCAGCCGACGTTGCCACAGGGGAGTGGGCTCCCTGTTTGCTCCTCCTCTCTCGTCCCCAGGCTCTAAGGCCCCCTGAAACCTGCATCCAAGTCCTGCCCGCCCTTGCGTGGGAGGTGACAGTCTGTCCCCCCATCAGTGTTCACAGGCAGTGTCCTGCTGGGGCCCCGCTCAGTGTGCCTCTGTGCCCTGGGACAGGGCTGGCGTTACTTCTTCTCTCAAGAGCTCGTTCTCCACCAACTGGTCCCCTCCTGGAGGCAGGGTCCTCCCTCTCCCATTCACTGACCTGTCCCCGTGTCAGAACGGCCCCGTCTCTCAGAACCCGCGGCCTGGCATGGCCTTCAAAGGCCTGTTGGGAGGTGAGGAGGTCACAGTGCCTGTCTATCCCAGACTTCACGGCCCGCTCCTGGGTTCCCAGAGAGGGGGACTCCAGGGTAGCATTGAACCCAGCACCAGTCACCACCTTCTCTGCCCTGGTGACCAGAGGAAGTGCACGAGGAGCCGTCGTAGCTGGGGGTCATGGAGGTGGACTTCTGCTGACCTCAGACCATGCAGAGCCAGGAGAGCAGAGTCGAGTGCATTTCCCCAGCACTTACTACGTGCTGGGCCCTGATCTGAAACCCTGAGGGGCGCCCCCCTGCTCATGGGGTCTCACAATAGTCTAATGGGGTAAAGGGTGATTGTTACTCCCTTCTTGCCAAAGAAAAAAGCCCACGTTCAGGGTCGAGTAGCTGGTGGTGGGTCTGCCATCACTGAGGAGGGGCACGTTAGAGGGGAGGAAGGGGACGGGCAAGTGAGTGGTGTCTGGAAGCCCCTTGGGTGGGGGTCGTCTGGGGCCCCAGGAGGAGCTGGGGGGCATCTCCAGGGAGAAACTGCGCTAGCAGAGGCTGCCCAGGGTAAGCCCGGTCTGGGAGAGAAGGGCGAGAGTCAGTGGCCACCAGAGAGGGGAGCCCTGCTGGAGTTGGGTCACCGAAGCGAGAAGCAATCAAGCCTCCTTTGAAACAGCAGAGGCCGACCTGGCCCGGCGGCTCAGTTGTCAGAGCGTCATCCCAACACACCAAGGTTTTGGTCTCAATCCCTGGTCAGGACTCGTGCGAGAATCAGCATAAAAACAGCAAGTAGCTCTCTCTCTCTCAAATCGGTTTTTAAAAACAAAATGGCAAAGGCTGCCCGAGGGAAAGGTGCCCCTTCCTTATGGCCTGCAAGTGTGACTGCACGGGGTTGCAGGTGAGTTTGGGCCTTTTTCCTTTGCCCTGTTGCTGTGTGTAGGCACCTTTACAGACTGGGATCCCCAGGCCGCCCTTCCAGGTTGGATGGGTGGCTCCCCCAGACGCGGCCTCGTCTGCCCCTGCAGGAGTCTGGGGCAGGGAGGACGGGGTCGACACAGGGAGACAGACGCTGGGCCCCTTCTGCCCATTCCTCCCGGCCCCGTCCCAAGGGTGTGACCTTTAAGTACAAGCAACAAACCCTTTTCGTCCAGGGCGAGCAGTGGGGAGGAAACTTTTAAAGGAGATTGTAGTCTTTTTTATTTATTTTACTTTTTAGACAAGAAGGGAGGGAGAAAGAGGGAGAGAAACATCCATGTGTGAGCAGTGCATTGATTGGTTGCCCCTCACACGCCCCCAACTGGGGACCCGGCCCACAACCCAGGCATTGGCCCTGCTGGCAATCTGGACCTTTCTGGTTCACAGGCTGGCACTCAGTCCACTGCACCACACCAGTCAGGAGAGTATAGTCTTATTTGAGAAATACAAAACAGCATATGCTCAGGAGAACAACTGGGAATCAGATATGCCGGGGTGGTTTTCTTCTGTAAGTTCTTGTTTGCCTCATTTTTGCCCTAAAGCCTCCAAGCCAGGTAACTAGTTCTGTCAGCAGAGCCTGTCCCCCAACCAGGTGACGCCCTCCTCGAGGAGCTGTGACACGTCCAAGAGCCATGGGAACAGTCTCTGTCCTTCTGCTTGAGAATGTCACATCCAGCTCAGTGCTGCCCCGGTGCCCTTTCGACATGCCTGGAGCAGTCTTGGAAGCGCTGTGAGCGCCCTCTCTCCCCAGCGTCCCTGGCTCCGCCCGTGGCTGCCTTCCTTGTAGACAAATGTCCGGCCTAGCTTTCCAGAGGCCCCTAGGCAGGCCTCCACTCCCACCCCCACCGGAGAAATTGCTGATCCTAAAAAAGCCTGGGGCTCGACAGAGGGCTCACTTCGAAGAGCCGTCTGACACTACAATTTCCAGATCAAAGTCAGCTCCGTTCTGGAGTCTTAGTCCCCACTTCCGAGCTATTTTTAATTTGCTTATTTAAAGAAACCATCATCTCGGTGCTCAACAGCATCTATTCTGTTGTGGGATTTGGAAGAATGCCGAGGGCACGGGGTTTACTCAGAAACAGACCTTTAAAAACCAAACCAGGTCCTTGACATAGTTGCACAGCAATCCTGCCAGGTACCGGGCTCTCTGCCCTGCCCGTGGGTGGCTCCCTGCTGGTCCCTGGCTTCGGATCGGTGCCCTGGTGCCCAGCATGGCTTCACGCCCTGGACGGGCCTGATCCAGGTTGAAGCCTCAGCTGCATGACTCTTAATGGACTGGCTCCAAACCTCCCGTCTCTCATCTGCAGAAAGAAAATTCGGAAAACAAAAAGCACCCCCCGCAAAGGGTGCCCGTGGCATTGGCCGCTTTCAGAAACCTACACCTGGTGAACCTGGCTGGGGCAGGAGCTCTGGTGTCTTTATTTCTTACAACGCCGAGCTTTATGGCGGCCTGTGCTTGTGACTGGATCTCGAGTTCTTCGTGGCCTCGTCATCTCCTCTGGGCCTTGACCTCTGGTCTTCGGAATGCAGGCTTTGGAGTCTCAGACGGAGGGAACGGGTGGCTTCCAGGTTCAGGGCCTGCAGTTTGCACAGGAAGACCAGCGCTTTCATTCTCTTCTTAACATTCCGCGCCCGATGGGGGGAGGGCTGTTCGTCAAAAGGAAAATACCTGCGCCGACCATTTATTAAGTGAAGGCTGGGCATTAAGGTCACAAAGGGCCATGGTTCGTGTATAAGTGAACATGGTTTTACATGATGTCACTCAGTGGTGACAAGGGAGCCGCTGACTCCAAGAAAGGGGGTGGGTCCTGGGAAACAAATGGGGTAGTTTGTATGCGTCTAGAACCATGTAGGAAACCCCTTTGTATGTCCATGTTTTGCTTCTGGAAGTCTGTCTGAAGAGATGAACTCCACATGGGGCGCAGCTGTGTGCATGAAGCCATCCGCGGTGACCTTAATCATAACCACAGATTAGAAGCAGAGAGTTGTCCCGGAGTAAGGAAGTGGCTACGTAGGTGGAGGGACAGTCACTCTATGAAACATCTTGTGCCCATTAGAATTATAAAGACCATGTGGCACCATGGAGGACGCTTTTATTAAGTGAGAAAACAATGCTCCAAATTATAGGCATTATAGGACAGCAGCCTCATAAAATACGCATATGAATGAGATTAAACAAACATCCAAAAAGGAGTAATGATTATGGGAGAGGTAAGGGTAGTCAGTTATTTTCTTCTTCTTTTTTCTAGTTCGCAAAGTGTCTCTATTGTAGTGTAATTACTTTTGTTTGCAAGCGTTTGCAAGCGTGCGGAAGAGGGGGAGCAGAAGTGGTGAGGAAGAGAGGCATCGTCCAGACCGACATTAGGAGGGTCGAGACGGCCGGTCACGTATTCTGCCGGGCGTGGGAGACGGCGTCCTCCTGCGGGTTCAGATCCAGAGAGGCTTTCGTTTTTCCGTGTCGCGATTTGTCGGTCAGAACAGCTCAGCACTATCGTTTTTAGAGATCGAGCAGCATCGGGTTGCAGAAAGCATTTCTGGGGCTCTCAGGTGTGGGGCGTGGCCGTGCTGGGTGCCAGGCCTCCAGCGTCCACGATCTCAGGTGGGGGGGGGTGGCGTCCTGGCTTACAGGACCTGCAATGGTGAGCCCAGCACAGCCGTGCCGGTGGGGCCGTCTCGGGAGGACGCCTCTGGAGTGACGTGCCACCCTGCTTGGCTCAGGCCGCTGGAACAAATGCCACAGACGGGGCGGCTTGAACTGCAGGCATTGACTTCTAGCAGTTCTGCAGGATGAAGGCAGAGCAGAGGGGGCCCGTGTGGTTGGGTCCCGGTGAGGGCCCTGTTCTGGGTTCCCAGGCGGCTGCCTTCTTGCTGTGCCCTCCCATGGTGGAGAGAAATCTCTCCAGTGTTCCTCACAAGGGTGCTAGCTCCGTCGTGGGACCCCCCCCTCTCTTGACCTCACCTAAGCCTCATCCCCTCCCACAAGCCCCACCTCCTAACACCCTCACTTTGGGCGTTAGGGCTTCAATGTGTGAATTGAGAGACACCTTTCAGTTCAGAGCAGGTGTGAGGGGCCGGAGGAGGAGGTTGGGTCCCTGCAGTGCTCTCAGGCCTGCCCTGGACATCATTGCTTTGGACCAGGAAGGCAACGTCTGGCTCTGTTGGTTTCTTTGACTCCTGCTCGCTGATGCAGGTCCCCGGGGGAAGAGGCCGGGGCAGGGGCTGGGTTTTGACCCTCGTCACCCTCCCAGGGAGGGTGGCCGCCCACCAGCAGCTCCTCCGGAAGGCCGTGGAATTGTTCCGGAGGAGGCCAGTTAGTGCTCTGCCTGCCCAGCAGAGAGGGCCCTAATAGGCAGAAGGAGTTGGGAGTCTCTGAGCTGTTTGTAGCGTGGGCTGTGGCGAGGCCTTGGCATCAGAGCAAGAAAGTTCCAGAAAACGGACCCAAGGGGCTCACACTGCTGCTGGTGGCGGGGGTGGGCTGCGTGAGCAGGCGCACCTGTTCCGGTTGGTTCCAAAGGTTACTTTCTGCTCTCTCCCCCCTGTGCCCGGCGCAGAGTCAGATGGAGTTCAGCATCTCTGCCTTATCCATCCAGGAGCCGAGCGGCGGCCCCGCCAGCGAGCCTAGGCATCCACCCAAAGCCACTCAGGGCTCGCAGGCCCTCCGGCCCCCCCAGGGCAGCAAGTCCTCCAGCCTGGATGCCCTGGGTCCTGCCCGGAAGGAGGAGGAAGCGTCCTTCTGGAAGATCAACGCGGAGCGGTCGCGCGGGGAGGGGCCCGAGGCCGAGTTCCAGTCGCTGACTCCCAGCCAGATCAAGTCCATGGAGAAAGGTGAAAAGGTCCTGCCGGCCTGTTACAGGCAGGACCCTGCCCCGAAGGACAGGGAAGCCGAGGCGGAGAGGCCCGGCCCCCTGCGCCCGGAGCCGCGTGTTCTTTCCAGTGCCGCTGTGGAGCGCGAGGGGCCACAGCCGGTGCAGGCCAGCGCCAGCCCAGTGGAGGAGGCAGTCCCCTCCGAGCCCGTGGGCAAGCAGCCCTGCTCCGTGGCTGGCCCGGGGGACAGGGACGACGTGGAGGATGAGCTGTTCTCAGAACCCGCACCTGTGCAGGTGGGTGGCCCCTTCCTCCAGGAGGGACATGGGCGTTTCCACCTCTTGGCCGTTGTGAACTACGTTGCCGTGAACACGGATGTGCGGGTAGCTGTTTGAGGTCCTGCTTCCGTCCTGCGGGGTGTACCCGAGAGGAGGAGTTGCCGGCCCCGTGGTCATTCCAGAGTGGTTGCATCAATTCCTGTGAGCAGGAGGCCCAGCGAGACAGATCGCAGCCATGCTAATACGGTCTGTCTCGCTGTGGGTTTGATTGGCACGTCTCGGATGACTGGTGATGCTGAGTGTCTTTCCCTGTTGCTCAGTGACCACTTGAATATCTCCTTTGGAGAAACGTCTCTTCAAGTCCCTTGCCCAGTTTTTATGGGTGGGTGTTCTGTGGTTGGGCCCTGGTCATCCTCTGGGTGCTTCCCAAATGCAGTGGTGGGTGCCCTGCCCACCTCCTCCCATCAGCTGCAGGTCCACCCTCCAGCTGGTGGGTTTGGGTTTGCCCTCCTTTGGGTGTACCCCGGTCTTTAGCCAGGGCTTTGGGTCCTCCCTTCCCTGCCCATCTCCTCCCTCTGTGTGTCTAGTCTTCCTGCCCTCAGCTCCTCTCAGACGGGCTCCACTTGCCTCTCTGCCCGACTGGGCATCTTTCTCTGACCCTCAGCAGTCGGCTCTTCCTCCAGAGGAAGTTCTTGCCTAGCTCAGTGGAGAGTCTCCATCGTAAGAGATGCAGGACCGCATTTGGGGAAAGGGGACTCAGGAGTCCGAGATCCTCTGAAAGGACAGCTCTCTGAGCGCAAAGCCCAGAGTGAGATGCTCCTAGGTTGAAGAAACTGCTAGGCAACCAGAAAAAGGAGAACTCGATTGAGCCCCTTAGTTTTTTCCACTTTGGCTCGCTCACTCTCCAATGCGGATGCGGCAGAACTGGGCTGGAGCCAGGCTGCCAGGGAAGTTGCGTGGCCCATTGCTGCCACGGACGCACTTTGCGTTTGCCAGCTGCGTGGAGGGTGGGTTGTCAAAGTGTCCTTGCCCAGGAAGGCTGCTGGCCACCCAGGGATATCTGCTGTGCTGGATCAGAACAAAGGGGCACCTTAGTCACAGGGCTGGCGGGAGCCTGTCGAGACGTGTCTGAATATGGCCGCAGCCTGGGACAGCCCGAACTTACCCTTGTCATTCACGTAGTAGGTCCTTGACATGAAAAATGTCCCTGGGTTAGGGAAACCACAGAACCTTCCACGTAATCTGAAAGAAGCTTTACATCCCCTCCCCATTTTTTTTAGTCCCTCAACTTTGCAAGTTGTGTGTTGTGTGTAACATTAGAAAGGCTCCATTTGTACCATGTTCTCTGATTCCACGACGACTAAATGTAAACGTGCCTGTCTTCCAGGAAGAGAAAAGATACGCTTTTGTCCTTTTCTCTGTGGGTGGGTCCGGAAGCTGCTCACAGACATGGCTAGGGATAGGAGCCTGCATTGAATTCTATTTAATTTTCTGGTTCCAGGCTCCGAGGCAAATTGAGGGCAGGGAGCTTCTGAGACAGAGGCAGTCTGTTTCATTTGGGTCATTTTAAACGAGATGCTGTTTTTAGATTACGCAAAACTAAAAAAAACCCTCCTGCCTTACTTTGATGTTTTTGTCTTCCCGGCAGGTCAGCTCAAGCAGTGCCATCTTGAAGACGGGGTTCGATTTTCTGGACAACTGGTAAACTGTGGTAGACCAGAAAAAAAAACCTCCACCAAAAAACGAGAACCCCCCAAATGTTTTCCAGAATGGTGTGGCGGAGGACGCAAAGTGTGGCATTTCCTGGGTCGTTTTCTGGTTCCTGTACGCAAATTTCTTAGTCTTTTGGAAACTGGTAGATATTGCCTTGTCCAGAGTTCCAGTGTCCCCTTTTTTGGTAAGACCAGAGATACACACTATTTTCAGTGATTTGATAACACGTTTTACATCCGGAATTTTTTAAGACTGTTGGAGTTCAGTCAACCTTGCAAATGAATCTTCCGTTCCAGCTGCACCCAGTTCCCCCCTCCTCGGAGAAAGGGTTTTCTCCACCATGTCACCAACATTGTAAAAGTGATTTCCGCCCCCTCCCCCTTTATCCCCTCCCGGTTTTTGAACGTGTGGGGTCACCTTTGATGGGTGATGGTTAGTGATGTGCCGGGGGACGGTGACATCAGCATGCTGGCTGTGACCACGGAAAGGTTTGCCCCCCCCCACACACCCTGCCCCACCCCATGCTCCCAGCTGTCCCGGGCTTCTATCCCTGAAGCCCTGTTTCTCGAATCGCGTGCCACCCTCCGCCCTGTGTCGTTTGCAGGGGACAGGCTTGACATGAGGCAGAGGGCGTCTTTAAGCGGCCCCGATACTTATTCAAACTGTCCTTGTTGAAGAGTTGCATGTTTCAAAGTTTTGTATTAACTTTGCATTATTTTGTATCTAGATTTAGCGGTTGTAGGGCTACCACTTTTAGAAGTTCTCTGCCGCTCCTGTGGCCTGTGGGTGTCCCCTGTCCTGGGCACCCGCGGGAGGAAGGGCTGATGGCAGGTGTCGCTGGCGGACAGGGCTCTCCCGACTAGTTGTGTTAGACCTCCCCGCGTGGGCGCGGCAGGGGCGCCTTCATCCCAAGGACTGGTCCGGCTGCGTCACCGCGGACCCTCCCCCAACCCTGTGCCCCCGGAAGTGGAAGAGTCCGGCTCCTGCTGGGGCCCAGCAGCGCCTCCTGGAGACCTTTGTGGTCATAGCAACGGCATCTCCCGGAGTTGGACCTCCCCCCACTGCTGCTCTGAGGGGGGCGGCGCCTGGCCCCTGAGCTGCAGGAACCTGCAGGACACGCCCAAGTGTGGTCTGCACGGCACCTCTCACTGTGTTCTCCTCACCTGACGCCTTAATCCCAGGGAGTCCTGCCAGCCTACGCCTGGTCTCAATATCAAAGTGAGTCTTTTTAAAAAATGCCTCCTTGTTTCATAGGACAAATCTGAAATGATTTCCAGAATATTTTATCTGGCTTCAAGGGGAAGCACGTGGCAACGTTCTTATTTTTTCCAGGAAAGTTTCTGCCAAAGCTGTGGCTTAGCCAACGTGTGGTTTGGTTCCTGCCAATTCTTAATGTTCCGAAACCTCATTTGGCTCCTCGGGGCACTGGAGCTGACCTTCCTCCTCTGGTGACTCTGTTATGGCAAATGCAGGTTTTTTTTCCCTGTACCACTTAAGTATAGTTGAACTATAAAAGGGAACACAGGTTTCTAGAGCGGCGGTGAGGGAAAGGAGCCTAGAAATCCCATCTGGGGCACCACAGCAGGGTGCCGGCCCCTCGGGCCAGCCGCGGAGGCTGGCGCCCGGCATACCCCGGCCTCAGTGGGGGCATTGAGCTGTCTTAGAACGCAGGTCTGAAAGCGGGGTCCCTTCAAAATGAGATGCGCAGATGTGAGTTGGTGCTCCTTCGCGTTGAGAGCAGAGAAGATCTGGGCCCTGGGATGCTTAGGCCAACGTGATCCGTCTGTTCTTCTGGGAGACACTTGTGATTTCTTTCCCACTTTCCCATTAAGCCCAGTATCCCCTTTGAACCCAGAAATCCTAGAGGGAGTCCTGAAGTCGAGTTGTTTTGCTCCATACTTTCAGAAGTATGGAGATGGGAGGGAGAGAAGTGAAGCTTGGAAGAATCCGACTCCTAGTCAGTATCCTGCCTGACCTTGGGGGGGGGGGTGCTTGTAACCATGGCAGCCTAGATACAAAGATGGTTCCTTTCCCGTTCTCCTGGGAATCTACCTTCAGTGCATCCAAATAAGGGAAAATTAAGCTCTTATGTCCACCACCTTCCCCCCCCGCCGCTGTGTATCAGGAGTTTCCATTTATTATTTTAAAAATACTTTTCAGCTGCAGCCTCTGTGTTTTTGGATTTCCCCCACCTCCACCCCCTGTACCTGGGATTCAGCTCAAGCAGTCAGTGTCTCGCTTTGGGTGATTGTATTTTGCAAAATCTCTCCCAAGAAGCCAGAAACTAGTCTCAGTTCTTTCCCCTGGGGGGTCCGTCCCCCTCCCCCAAGCCCCCGGGCCTGCTGCCAACTTTGGGAACAGTGGGGGTCGCAGCCCCTGCGTGGACGGAGCGGCCTCCCTTTCTTTGCGCTTCTCTTTCTTTGATACACGTTTTCAGAAATGAAAATTCCTACTGGCTACTTGTAACTTGGTTGTATTTTATATTAATAACCTTTAATAAAGCCATTTAAAATATCCTAGGCATGTCTGTTTGGGCCTCTGCTGGGGCAGGGATGGACGGAGAGAAGAAATGGATTCTTACTGGTTAAACCAGTGCTAAACCGCTTCAGGAGGCCCCCCCCCCCCCGGGTCTCCTGAAGGTCGGTGGGAAACAGTGTCGAGGTGCACAGGCCCCCGGGAGATATGGTGGGCTGTGTCCTAGAGGGCTCGAGAACACCCTTGGGTGACATGCTTCTCACAGCCAGTGACCGACGAGGCAGGGCAGGTGCTGTCTCCCCAGAGACCCTTCACACTGAGCCTGGCTGAGCTGGTCTTCCTCGGAAGAAACTCATCAAGCCTGGCCAGATGATCTGGTTCATCAATGTGCAGGCGAATGCACTTCTAAAACGGATACCCATCAGGAAAACGGTGACTCAGGTGGCCAGTGGGGCCTCGCCGCCTTGCGAGCAGGAATTTCTGGGTGAGCAGGTGACTGTACCTGCTGACTTGTGCTGTACAGTGACCGTGGGGAGGTGGGTGGGCCCGCAGGCCTTGCATTGGTGCGTCTGCCCATGAGGAGAGGAGGTGTGATAGCTCCCGAGCCTGTGTGTTTGGCAGCTTGGATGGTAGCTCAGCATGTGGTCCTAATATATCTTTTTTTTTTAAAGAAGTGTTTCTTTGCAAGGGGGAGCCATCCACATAAAGACAAGATATGCCCAGGCCTGTTTACACTTTGCAGCCAGGAGGGAAGACAGGGAATCTGGGGGCAAGAGAGCGCTCTGCCGGGGGTGGGGTATTTATAGGGCCCTTCCCGCCATCGGGGAGGCCTGATTCCATGCTCATATGCAGTCTTCTATCGAACTTAACAGCCTTCCGGGCGCGTCAATATGAAGATGGGGGGCCCCAGAAGGGAAACCAGTGAGGCTGAATTCCCCCAACGCAGGCAGTTCTGGATGTAAGAACAACTTAAAAATCAAGGGCGGTGGTTCCAACTGGAAACGTGAATCAAAAGGTACCAACTCCTCACAGCAGCCAGAGACGTAAAGTGTCCAGGACTCGGCTTCGACCAGTATGTGAGGACTTCTTTAAAGAAAACTACAAAAATGAAATAGAATGACTGGAGGAAGACGCGATGATCCCGGGTGGGGTAACGATATTCTAAAAACGTCATTTCCCCCAAGTCGTTTTATAAAGTCAGTGCAACCTCGGCAAAAATTGCAGTTGGCTGTTCTGAGAAATTTGACAAATTTACATGAACCTGCAGGCTCATCGTTCACCGAAGGATAGGGGTGTGGCCCTCAGTTATGGAAGCACGTCACGGAGCCGCAGAAGCACATCTGTGGGCATTGCTGCAGGGCCGCGGGTTCCACCAGAGCAGACCGAGAGCCCGAGTGCACGCCCCCGCACGTGGGAGCTTAGTTTACAATCGAGTGGCACCGCCGGAATCAAGTGGCTGGGTCCACTGCATGGAGACGGAAATACCCACCACTGGGCACTAGGGAGCTGCGCATGGAGTCCAGACCAAATGAAAGAAGGCGAAGGTGGGAAGCTCGGAGGGCCTAGCTCGTGACCAAGGGCAAGGAAGGGCTTCTTTCATGAAAGTTCAAAAGTGCAAACCACAAAGCAGCCTGCTGCATCTTGTATGTGGACATGAAGGGTTGTTGTCCGTGGAGTGAGCATGGGTAGAACTAATGAGCTGGAAGGATGGGAGAGCACATTGGCTACGTCCTCGGCAGTGAAGGACCGGCATCGGGGATTCAGAGGGCGCTCCTGCAGAGCAGCGGGAGGCCAGCAACCGCAGCAGAGAGGGAACAGTAGGGAAAACCCTTAAAAACTGGAAAGCATGTGAAAAGGTGCATCAGGTAGCCGGTTATCGGAGAGAAAAGTAGAGAGAATTGGGTGATGGCAGAAATGGGCTAGGGCAGCGGCTCTCGACCAGTGGCAGTTTCACCCCCACCCCGGCCGGACACTTGGGTGGGGAGAGCCTGGTGTCTGGTGGGCAGAGGCCAGGGACACTGCCAAACGTCCCCCAGTGCCCGGTTCAGGCCCCATGGCGAAGGGTTTGGTCCCAGACGTCGGTAGTGCTGGGGTTCAAAACCCCGGGATAGACGAACTGTGCAGACACGGTCTCGGGAGCAATGTGGCAGTGTTTCACCATGTGTCCTGCGACCCCACAGTTCCACTCTGTGACGAAAGTCTGAAAGGAAGTCTTAGCGCAGGCGCTGACAGGGTGGGCACAGGGCTGTTCACTGCGGTGCCGTTTGTGAGAACGGGGGCAAGGTGACACCCGTCCGTCACGGGAAGGTTGTTGGATGAAATGGGACGCCCTCACCAGGGGTCATTCTGTGGCACCTAAAAGCAGCATATGAGCTGTCCACGTGGCAGCCTGGGTGGGTCTGCACAAATGTATTACTCAGTGAATCAAAGCAGCAAACAAAAATGGAATACAGAACAATACGCCATCTGCATCAATTAAAAACATGCGCGTAACACAAGACAGACTCAACCGTAGAATGCCGGCCCCCATGGAGGTGGCAGAGGCGGGAATCAGGGAGGCGGGAAAGAAGAGCAGAGATCTGCATGGACCCATGGTGATGTGCCAGCGGGCGCCTGCCTGCAAAGGAAGTTGGTGTTTTTCACAACCTGCGTCTGCTACTTATCTCTCATGTCGGACAGGAGGCTCATAGGTTTCTCTAGTGTGTCGGGTTGGCGGTGGCCGGTGGCCAAGCACTGCTCGGATCTTCCGAGGCTCATCTCTGGTTGTAATCTGTGTAGATGCAATCACACCAGCTGTTTTGGGCGGGGCCAGGGAGCCGATTTCGTCAGTTGGCCAGTTCGTCAGTTACCCAGCAAACCGAAGTTTGCCCCACCTGAGAACCCGTCACGTGACAAACTCATGCACCGTAACACATGTGAAGGTCTTTCAGAGTTTTCTACAGTTTTCTAACCGTATCACCGAAGTGTGGGAAACACCGTCTACTGCTTTGACCCAATACCGGCGTTTTGAAGCATTTACTGCCAGTCTTTGGGGCGTGTGTGTGGGACAGTGTCCAGGTCCAAGTGCAGAGCGTGTGTCGCAGGGACAGTGCAGACTGGAAGTGAGACCCACAGGAAACCCTGGCAACACCTGTGCCGTGGCCGTGTGCTCGGTGCCAGGTGCCCCTTCTCGGCCCACCACCCCCTGAGCTGGTCTCTGTCCATCGATCCAGGATCGACGTGGCCTCAGGATCACAGCGCCCCATTTTTCTTCCGAGTTCTTACTGTGTCGCAGCCTGGTGCCGGGCCCGGGGATTCAGTAGCGTTTGATACACACAGATGCTGCCCTCATGGGCTCACACTGCAGAGGAGGAGGAGGCAGGCTGAGCACAGGGCCGTGCAAACAAATTTGTACTTAAAAATTGCTCAACGTGAACGAGATTGCTGGCTCTGGCCATGGCAGAGTAATTGCGAGAAGACCTACCCTCATGTCGTAAACGACCATAAAATGAGAGAAAATACAGGGAGAGGCGAAAGTCAGGTTTACAGTTGTGAGTGTGGGAAACAGTTTCTTCTTTTATTACTTACTGATTATTGTATTGTTTTTGATACAAAAAACCGTACGTGTGTTTTTGCTACACCTTGTACAGGAGCTGCAGGAGTGTATGTGCCGTAAGACTGCCCTGGCTTCCTGACATAGGCACTGTCTGGACCGTGGGGCAGGTCTTCCTGAGCTGAGAAGAATGAGTTTGGGGAGGAAAAGGGAGCTGGGGTCTGTAGGAGGGAAGTGTGCAGAGAAGGAGCTCCAGAAGTATGCACTGAATGCTCCTTGAGTCTCTCGGAGGCAGTTTCTGGACTGCAGTGCGGGAAAGGGGGGGGGGGAAGTCCAGATGGAGCCTGGCAGTCTTGCTGAGGCGAGGAGAATGCATTTGGAGTTGGAAAGGCCACAGGGGCTAGAATTGAAAGGGCAGAGCTCCAGAGAGGAAGAGCTCCAGAAATCTGCATAGAGGTTCCCTTAAGTCTTTGGCCAAAGACCAGACTGGTGCAAGTGTCAGGTGAAACCCTGATGGGCTGGGCAGGAACAGCCTCCAGGGAGAAGGCAGTAATCAGGGAGCTGTCAGATAAACACGTCCCAGAGTTCAAACAAGGCCAGGGTTCGCTCAGATCGCCCCCAGGTGGAGCGCAGATCATGTTGAACACGTGGGGCTCCCACCAGAGATCCTGGGGACCATGCGCTGGAAGTGGGGCTGTTAGCCTTAGAATAACGGGTACTTTAGATCTGTTGTAAAAGAGCTTTAAAAGAAGACATAAAGGAATCAAACCAATTCACAAGGAACTTAGCTGCCTGCCAGAATTCGTCCTGCATTCTTTATACAAACATCACAAAATTAGCAAGAAACCTAAACTTCATGATGGTCAGCAGCTAATCAAAATGACTAGACATGAGCAGGCAGGGAACTGTGATTCACAAACAGGAGAACAGTCAATCAGGAGACCAGCCCAGAAATGAGGGAGATGATGGAAATCAGATTTTAGAACAGCTCTTATTCATATGATCCATCTGCCCAAATATGTAAAGTAAAATGTTTCAAAGAAAGAAGTGGAACTTTTAAAAATAAATATCTGAAATGAGAATTTCACTGGAATATATTAAAGTTAGATGATATACTTCAGAAACAAGTAAATGTGGAGACAGCAGTAGAATTATTCAGAATGAAGCAAAAATAAGGGGGGTGGGGCAGGGGTGAACAGGGCCTCAGTGTCGTGTGGGAAAACACTAAGTGATCCAGTATGTGAGTAATCAGTCCCAGAAGGAGGAGAGAGGGAGGCTGATGCAACAAGTATTTGAAGAAATAATGACCAACCTTCCCCAAATTTGATAACAATAAATGTACAGATTCCAGAAGTTCAATGAATTTCCAGCAGGATGAACTCACACACACACACAATGCTATAAGTGGCTGAAAGTAATAAACAGAAACTTTATAAAAACAGCCGGAGATAAAAAAGACATGTTAGAAAGTAGGGTGGGTCAGGGGGGTGGAGAGAATGACCACATGAC